GGGCAATGCTGGCGTGACATGTACAATGCCATAAGCCAGGCACGGCGGTTGATTTACATTGTGGGTTGGTCAGTGTTCCACACGATCGACCTCATAAGGGATGGAGCTGAGAAGGCACCATCACTTGGGGACCTGTTGAAGATGAAGTCGCAGGAAGGCGTTAGGGTATTGCTTCTTGTATGGGATGATCCAACGTCAAGGAGTATTCTCGGCTTTAAGATGGTATGAATTATTCATAGAGTCCAAATTGCTGTCTCGAGGTCTTTACACTACATGAAGAACTTTTTTTTGAGGGACAGTACATGAACAACATATCTTGCATTCAAACTGATAATTTATAGAACAACATTGTTATATCTTTTCAAATGTTTAGATGCTCACCTTATTAAAGGATGGCATAGCCCATACATGTTTGTTGCTGTAAACATACCATCATATCTAATGTTATCAAGTAAAGGAGTTACTAAAATATCTTAGCTGTCATATTAAACAATATCGAGAGGATATTCCTGAAACTACTGTCTGTATTTTCTATGTTATTTTCGTTAGATGCATATTCCATGTCTGGCCCCATTCCTGATTTTGGGAATTGATGTACTTGTAGGATGGTTTCATGGGCACACGAGATGAGGAAACACGTCGGTTTTTCAAGCACTCTTCAGTTCAAGTATTACTTTGCCCAAGATCTGCTGGGAAGCGTCACAGCTGGGTGAAACAGCAGGTTATCCCTGCCGCGATGGCCCACAACTTATCCATTATAATAGATAATTTGTTTCACTGAAACTATATGTTCACGGCACGTAGTGAATGTGAATGGTTTCATTTATCTACCAGCCATGACTTATGTATCCTTGGATGTTACTCCATATGATATATCATGCTGTTGTGTTATATACTTCCGAGTAGGTTCACTGTTTGGCCAGTAAAATAAATATAATATATCTAATCACAAAATGCAGTTCTATGGTATATCAAGTATTATATTGTACCAATCATTAGTGCCATTTGTTTAACATATGAAGGTCTTGAAAACCAGGAAACAGGAACCATTTTTACTCATCATCAGAAAACAGTTATTGTGGATGCTGATGCCGGCAATTATAGGAGAAAAATAATTGCTTTTGTCGGAGGTCTTGATTTGTGTGGTGGGCGCTATGATACACCTGGGCATCCTCTGTTTCAGACTCTTCAAACTTCACACAAGGAGGATTATTACAATCCAAACTTTGCTGTAAGTTTCTGATTCCTTATCATATACTTGTGTCTTGAAGCAGATTGTTTAGAAAGACATATACTTGTGTGTTGGTTCAGTTTCTCATGTACTGAGTAACAGTTACCATAGTCTTAATTTTGAGAAGAGTAGGAACCTTTTGTGATGTTTGGTTCTTAGTCATCAGAAGGAGATCATCTTGTACTAGGAATAATAATTGCATGTCACCATATTCTCAGTTTATTTTTGTCACTGCTCTGAAAGTATTTGCCCTTGTCATCTGCTTGCAGACAGTTGATGCCCGTGGCCCAAGGGAACCATGGCATGACTTGCATTCCAGGATCGACGGTCCAGCAGCTTATGATGTTCTGAAGAACTTTGAGGAGCGTTGGTTGAAGGCATCCAAACGCCATGGGATTAAAAAGTTGGGGAAATCAAACGATGATGCACTTCTCAAGATTGAAAGAATACATGATATTGTAAACATTGATGATGCAATTTATTTTAGCGACAATGACCCAGAGACATGGCATGTTCAGGTATTTACAGTTTTCTGTAATGGGAGATTCAAAGTGTTTTCCTTCTTGTTTTGACTCAGGCATTCAACTCTCCTAGTCTCTTTTTACTTTACAAAATAGGTGTTTCGCTCTATTGACTCAAACTCTGCCAAGGGATTTCCAAAGGACCCACGAGTAGCAACCATGAAGGTAACTGATAAACCGAAACACAGCATGACATTATATTCTACAGTTTGTGCTGCTGACTAACACTTTTATTTTTGCTAACAGAATCTTGTCTGTGGGAAGAATGTACTAATTGATATGAGCATACATACAGCTTATGTGAATGCCATCAGGGCAGCCCAACACTTTATTTACATTGAGAACCAATACTTCATCGGTTCTTCATTTAATTGGGATTCAAACAAAGATATTGGTAAGCATGTTCTAGAGTTCTCTGTTTCTTCTTTTGAATGATCTGACTAATGAACAGACACCCATCCTTAGAAGAATATTAGTGCACAGTCCAGTTGTATTCATTTCTGATACAACTCCTTGATTCTGTGTCCATCTAATGAAAATGCAGAATGTACCAAATTCTTTGACTGATCCCAACTCATGATGGTAAAATTGTTGTCTTTCAGGGGCTAACAATTTGGTACCAATTGAAATTGCTCTCAAAATTGCAAACAAGATTAAGGCAAAAGAGAGGTTTTCTGCATACATAGTAGTTCCTATGTGGCCCGAGGGTAATCCAACTGGTGCTCCTACACAAAGAATTCTTTACTGGCAGGTTCGATTAAGCACCCTTGTTCTTCCTAATTTGTTCTGGTGGAGCATACCCAGTCTGTTTATATTGCGTAATCACTTGTTTTGTCTTTCTCTTATATTGTAGAACAAAACAATGCAAATGATGTATGAGACAATATATAAGGCCTTGAAAGAAGTAGGTCTGGATGATATATATGAGCCTCAGGATTATTTGAACTTCTTTTGTCTTGGCAATCGTGAAATTGGGGACAGCCCTAGTACTCCAAGTACTGCAAATAATCCTCAGGTGTGAATTTCTCTCTTGTTTTTCTTTCAAGTTTCAACACGCTATGCTGGCTCTAACCTGCAGTTTTGGTTTGTTCCAGTAAGGTTGAACTGGTTTAGTTTCAATCATGATAATAAAGAGAGTAGTCATGACACGTTGAGCTTATGTGACCTTAGCATGAACCGAGTTTCTGTTATTCTTGGTAAAATATTGACATGATTCTGGTAGCCTTTATGATGCATGATGCACCACAGCATCAAAGTGTCAGTTTCTTTCTGCCACTGGCTCTTTGCGGATGAATCTTACTGTGAACGACCATATCCCTAGTTCTTAAAAGTAACTTGATAGAAGGTCTTGTTCTTTTGGTCATACATGTAGACCAAATGGCCAATGCATACAACTGAGTTTTTCTGCCAGAGACTACTTGAGCACTTTTGCTTAAGACAGGCCTTTGGATGAACAATTGAAGTGATTTCGCAAGTTATGTTGATGCTCTGCCAAAATTTTACATTTTTTGTGGGGATAGTTTGAACTTCTCAGTATTTGAATTTTCACTGGTTATTTGATGTACTAGTTGTTGTGACATGAAACTTATTTTTACTTGCTATTCAGGATCAAGCTAGGAAAAATAGGAGATTCATGGTTTATGTACATTCAAAAGGTATGATTGTAGATGATGAATATGTGATCATTGGATCAGCTAATATCAACCAGAGGTCGATGGAAGGGATCAGAGATACTGAGATTGCAATGGGAGCATATCAACCACAGTATACATGGGCAAATAAAATTTCTGCTCCGCGTGGACAGGTAATGCCTCATGTTTCAAGTTCAAGCTGCTGAATCACATCTTTTGGTACCTGCAGAAGACAGGTGTTTTCATGAGCTTGCATTTTGAGATTGTGCCTGCAGATTTTGTACTTGTCTTCCTGATGTTATGCGTTGCTTAGAACTGCTGCTTCATTACAATTGTTTCACCTTATTTAGAGAGACTGCCTCCAACTACACCCATTTAACATTTACCTTTTTTTCAATTATATATACACTAAACTATAGACATGTAATGACACATAAATACTGTTGGTGGCAATTCTACAAGTACAGTTATGTGAATATAAATACTAATATGTGCATTCTAAAACAGCAAGTGAAAAAGGTTGTCGGGGTATATCATCTCATCTCTTAGGGTAATAATCTAGTTATGACGCAGCTGGTATTTCTGGATTATACTCTTAAATCAAGTTTGGTGATTTTTTATGTAGATTTATGGCTACAGAATGTCCCTCTGGGCTGAGCATATTGGAATTATCGAGGAAGACTTTAACCATCCAGAGAGCCTAGAGTGCATGAGGCGGGTTCGTCAACTCGGGCAACATAACTGGGATCAGTTCTTTGCAAATGAGGTGACTGAGATGAGAGGCCACCTCCTCAAGTACCCTGTAAGTGTTGACCGTAAAGGCAAGGTGAAACCCTTGCCAGGATGTGCGACATTCCCAGACATGGGCGGAAACATTTGTGGCTCCTTCACGGCCATCCAAGAAAACCTCACTATATGAATTATTCTTATGCAAGCATGCAATTGTTGGTGACTTCTTGGGTATTCTGGACAACAGAGATGCCGAAGTAGCATTTTCTGGTTCCTGATAACATAGGTAGGGAGAGAATTTCGCAAGCCAATATATAGGTAGCAGGCAAGTAGGGCAAGTTGGAAACAAGGAAAAAAAATGTTCAAGTCATTTCTGCCTTTGGCTGTTCCATTCTTAACTCATCATGTTCCTTTGACATGTACTCGGTCCCTGTATAGATAAGATGATGGCTTGCTGGATCCCTCTGAAGGGAACCTGGCGTTTGTAGCATGTAACAACCACCAAGTAAAATAGTGGTATGTAATTTCATGAAATTAAGTTTCTAGTACAAAACTGTAAATGCATCCTGCACAGTATTCTGGTTTGCTACTCTTGTTATCAATGGAAATTGGTAGGTGGATGTGGCAACCGGTTTCCAATTTTTTTGATCGAAGTATTGTTGCTTGAACCACCGTCATGCCTTTGCAACATAAGTTTTTCCTTCTTATTTTGCAATGCAGAGAAATGCATGTTAAAGGGATGACTGGGTTTCATAATAATCAACAAACAGGCACTAAAAGACTATGCCTAGAGAATAAGTGGAAAAAAACAAATTAATCTGTCTAAACCAGGTTCCCCAAATACAATATTATGCCATGAATTACATTCAAATATGGCTCCTTGAAATATCATTTCCTCCATCTCTCGGCCTGAATCTTTATGCCCATATACCTGTACAGATTTACAACAGTTGTGTTAGTTGAGTTCATTCAGATCAGTATAATTGCGGGGGTGATTTGAGAGTTGCGTTTACCTGCCGAGCATCATGACGGTGGCCTGCGGGTTGGTGCCGGGGGAGTACCTGAAGGTGGAGCTGTCGATGACCCTGAGCCCCCTGACCCCGAACACCCGGTAGTTGTCGTCGACGACGGCGCCGACGTGGCACCCGCCGTGGTAGTGCCAGATGGTCATGACGGTCTCCCTGCAGTACTGCTCCGGCGAGCGGGAGTCGTTGACGTGGCGCGGCAGCAGGTTGACGGGGAAGTTGGCCGAGTCGGTGAAGATGGACTCCACGGTGGTGTTGGCGTAGGTGAAGTTGGAGAAGGCGCGCGACTGGATCACCCGCTCGATCGTCTGGATCCCCCGGACGCACCGCTCCAGGTCCTCCGCCTCCTGGAAGTAGTTGAAGGTCACGGCCGGGTTGGCGCGCGGGTCGGTGCTGCGCAGCTCGATGTGCCCCGTCGACACCGGCCCCAGGATCTTCTCCAGGATGAAGCCGCCCCGGAACGCCCGCCTGTCCAGCCGCCGCATCGCCTCCGCCGCGCGCTGCAGCGCCTCCGGCGTCCTCTGCCCCGGCGGCAGCGTGCCGAGCTGCCCGGTCTGCGGGGAGAAGAGCCCGAAGCTGGCCAGCCGGCGGGCGCCGTTGGACACCGGGATGCCGAACTCGGAGCCGCTCACGCCCTCGATGAAGCTGCCGGACTTGGTGATCCCGACGACCTGCACCAGGGACAGCCCCACCGGCACCGGCGACGGGATGAAGACCGAGTTCATGGGGTTGTCGGCCACGCCCTGCCCGACCATGGGCTGGTCCACCAGCACCTGGATGCTGTGCGCCTCCAGGTGCACCTGCGGGCCCACGCCGCTCAGCATCAGCAGCTGCGGGCTCCCCAGCGTCCCCGCCGACAGGATCACCTCGTTCTTGCCCCCGTCCCGGAGGTACACCCGGTGCTGCACCCCCAGCGGGTCCGCGAACACCACCCCGTACGCCACCGGGTACGGCACCCCCTCCTGGCTCCTGAACAGGACCCGCGACACCGTGGCGTAGAGCACCACGGTGAGCCCCCGCGGCCGGGCGTGCCGGAGGAAGTCGGCGGCCGTGTGGCGCTGCCCGTTGTTGTCGAAGATGGTGCCGCCGATCTTGGTCCCCGTGACGTGGTCGAAGGTGAAGCCGTTGTCGGGGGTGACGCCGGCCTCCAGCAGCGCGTCCCGGAGCGCGGCCTGCCACGGCGGCACGTCCGGGCGGAACACCAGCGCGCGCTCCACCCACCGGTACGACGAGTTGACGAGGCCGGCGTCCCACCCGGCCGTGCGCACGTACTCGTTGCTGGCCCGCGTGTAGAACCCGGCGTTGAGGCAGCTCCCGCCGCCCAGCACCCGCGCCCGCGCGTTCACCACGCCGTCCGTGGACACGAACCGCTGCGCCGGGGACGCCAGCGACGTGTCGGCCAGCGCGTCCGTGAAGTGCTCCTGGTTGGACATGTTGCGGTAGGGGAGGCCCCCGCGCTCCAGCAGCAGCACCCGCGAGTGCTCCGACAGCGTCGCCGCCAGCGGGCACCCGGACGTGCCGCCGCCCACCACGATGTAGTTGTAGTGCGACACCAGCGGCGCGTCCTGCGCGTGCTGCACGAACCGCAGGTTCTCCAGTTGCTCTGCACACGCACGCCACCATCGGTCATTGATCATGATAACAGACACAGGCACGTACTCCGTACTAGCTGACATGCAAAACCCCGAACACACGCACCATCCTCCGAGAGCGCGACGACGCAGAGCGCGCCAAGGACGGCGGCGGCGAGCACCAGCGCCGGCGATCTCGCGCGGCCAAGTGCCATTTGCGCCGGCGAGCTCGGCATCCTTTGCGCTTCAGGGACGCGAAAAGTTCGCTTGGTTTATAAACCTCGAGTTAGCGCGCGGGTAGATCGAGGGTAGATGTGTTAAATAATGCGGAGGCGGTTGCAGTGCAAAGAACAGCCCCATAAACTTGTGTCAGTATAGAAAGGGAATGGTTATATCAAATGGAATGCATCGGTTGTGAAATGCAGAAGTGATGAACTTTCTTTTTAGACGGGAGGAGCTGTTGAGTATATCATATCAAATGCGATGAAGCAGCAAGGGGGAGGGTTTACTGGCCGATCTTGAGACGGTTTTGCGCGTGCACTATATTTTTCCCGAAAAAACTATACTCCCTCCATTTTTATATACAAGCACAAATACATATTACAGGTACCAAGGCAAAACTATGATGTAAGGAGATCGGTCCAAACTATAAGAAAATAATAAAATACCAAGAAAAACCTAGAAACTAAAAAAAAGCGGTAAAGATAATCTGGCGAACGTTCGCCAGAAACCAATCCCCAACGTATGCCCCATGGAACGGATGTCAGTTCCTGAAGAAATTTGCCTCAAATAAATGAACTGACAAAATAAATGAACGGATGTCAGTTCCTGAAGCAGTCTGGATGCGAGGCGGCCCCCTAGATCGATGGCGCGGAGCGCCCCATGGAGCCAGCCGCGGGTGGCCAACACAACACTGACAGGCAGATCTAGTCGGCCCATCACGCGCAGATCAACCAACAAGAGGGCATAAACTGGTGTGACCGAAAACACCACATCATGATGGATCCGACCGCGTCCGCACCTCCTCGTCATGGACCCAGAGGCAAGC